GGAGAGGGCAGAGCTGGTGATGTGGTTCTTCAGGGCAGAACAGCCTTTCTCCACCTCACCTCATTTGGCCAGGGCCAAGTTTGTGGATTGCAGCCGCTCTGTTTCCTGGCAGATGTTCTGCTCCACTGTGTCGCACTCAGCTAGGAACGCCTAAAGATAAATGCAGTGCAGTGAGGGCCCATCCAGGGCTAGCCAACCCCTGCCCACGCAGGGATCTGTGCTCAGCCATTCTGGGGAACCCATGGGTGACTGACTCAGGCTGAAACAGGCTGTGCGGGGATGGCCTGGGCTCCAAAGGAGAGGGAGATAGAGGAAAGCGTAGGACCTGGGTTTCTGACAATGCTCTCAGCCCACAACCCCCAAAAGGGTGGTGAGGACAGGAAGCCTTGTTGCTGCAACTGTACAATCTCAGGGGGCATTGTGCATATGAATGGTGCCTCCTTGACTTATGTGTCAGCCTCATCTGCTCTCCAGTGATCTTCCTTCCCAATTAGTTTCAATTCAAATATATAATTACAGGGACAAGAAAGGAGCAATTATCTTATCTTCTGGGTTCATGCTGAGTAACAACCATAAGAAGCCACACACAATTTTACTGTACCCTACTTTAAACAGATAAACACACACACCAACACATTACATTTTGTAATGCTCTATCACACAACTCACCTGAACCCTTTTCACCAAACCTTTCCTTTTCAGTCTACTGTCTTTGAAATTTTCTGGCAGACTCTATGGAAGAATAAGTTGACATGTAAATAATCTCCAGTGAAAATGACGTAAGAATACATCAGAAATACCCACAGTATACCAAATAGGTCATAGGTCACCACTGTGAATGAGACATACATTTTTAGCAATCATTTCTCTGGGTCTGTATCCTCCATGGCCCTTCTATGGCTCTTGTCCCTACAAGAGCTCCCTTTGTTCTCAGTGTCCAGGCCACAGAAAACTGATCTACAAGGTCTGACAATTAAGTTCGCAAACTCATCCTAGAAAAAGTGCTACATACCTNCCATGGGCTAAGCTGAAAATCAGGAGCTCAATGATTGTGGGAGGAGGGTGTATATTTGCGTCACCTAAAAAGTCTATTCTAAGTGGGACTCCCCTCTTACACCCAAGTGGCAAAGCTCAGTCAAGCTTCTCCTTAGCAAAGTCCTTCCAGGCATTCACTCCCACAATGAGGAATCACAGAGGTTACATCTGAGCAATGTGCCAGTCACCACAGTGGAAAATACCTAATTCCCCACTTTACAGATTGGAAACTGTGGCCCCGTCTCTGGGAACTGCCCTGAAACAGAAGTGTGGGCCCCTAAAGTCCCTATTAGTGGCTTGTGACTCTGCACACCTGGCCATTGCTGATTTAGCCAAAAGATTCTTCAGGAGTTTTCAAATTGGAAACAAGGAAACAAAGGCAGTTCCTCTCTGGCAGTAAGATATAAGATATATATCTTATATATAAGATGTGCGAAGCGGGAGCTACTGGAAGTTATGTTTCCTACTTTGTGGAAGAATCAGGACTGAGGGAATGATGCCAACATACAAAGAAAGATATATGGAGAGTGATTCTGGGCAGTGTTTTGAGTTCCTGAAGCCCGGCTGTCCTTGAACTTCCCAAAGTCACATGGCATAGCTTGACATCCTGCCAATAAGTTTTCCGTTTCAACAAAATTAGGTTTCTGGTACTTCAAACTAGAAGAGGCCTAACAATCAGACGAAAAAGGGCTTCTCAGAGGAGTTAACCTTTAAGTTGTGCCTTGAAGAATAATTAGAAATCGTTGACTAAATAGACCGTGTATGGAAGAATCTTCCTGCTCTGCGAGGCTGAAGAGGTTTGTGGGATCACAGAGCCCCATTTGTTCCCCTGCAGTAGGACTGATATCTCAGGAAAGAGGGCAACTGAGAAGGGACGTTCTCTCCCCATTCACAGGCAGATAGGCAGAGATGGCCTGTGGACGGGCAGGTCTGTGTGGGCGGGGCATGAGCACAGGTCCCAGTCACCACCTTGCACTTCCACCAGGCAGCCATGCCTTAGGGACTCTTTTTCAACCTTTAAATAAGACAATGGCTGTTGATGCTACAAATTCCAGTGCTGACAGAGCTTCAGTGACCAAGTGTAGCTGCAGCTGTGAGATTTTTACTTTTTTTTTTTTTAATTGGAGATCACTGTGTTTTTCCAGGACCCATCAGCTCCAAGTCAAGCGTAGTTGTTTCAATCTAGTTGTGGAGGGTGCAGCTCAGCGGCCCATGTGGGAATCGAACCAGCAACCTTGGTGTTACAAACACTGTGCTCTAACCAACTGAGCTAACTGGCCGCCCTGGATTTTCACTCTTGATGTATACATTCAACATTCATTCATTCTCCAAAAGGGCCGGCCGAGTAGCTCAGTTGGTTAAGAGCTCGCTCAAGAGTTTGAGCTCTGAGCAACAGCGGTTCGAGTCCAGCCCGAGCTGAGCAGCCGC